ATAATTTCAATGGCTGAAATGGTCTCTGAATCTGCGGAGACAATTAGTGTCTTGTCCAAGGATTTCAAGGAGTTTCTGAAGTCTGAATCAGATGAAATTCCCACTAGTTTGAGGCAATTGTCAAAGATTGCTCAATCAAAGGAGTTTTTGGAGTCGCTGACTCGGGTTTCCCAGGCAATGACAATTGGGATTTTAAGGGGTTATAGGGTAGGGAGTAGTAGAAGTGAGATACAAGAACTGGGCAATTCAAGTTATTCTGATAGGGTTCTAGATAAGTTGATGTCAACTGCTGGGACGGGGTTTATATCGAGTATTGTTGGTAGTTTTACTAGGAATTTGGTTGTGGGTTTTTATGCAAATGGTAAATCAGTTGAAGGATTGAATGAAAATGATGACTTGGGTACGTCGCACGTTAACTCTAATTTATCAAGTCTGCCAAGATGGGTTGATGTGGTATCGGATGATAAATGTAGAATGTTAATAGCCGATTGTATCAAGACTTTTGTGAGCTCTGCAGTCACTGTTTATCTTGATAAAACTATGGACATTAATTTCTACGATGAAATGTTCTCTGGCCTGACCAATCCTAATCATCAGAATAAGGTGAAGGACGTGTTGGTTTCTCTGTGTAATGGGGCTGTGGAAACTCTTGTGAAGACATCTCATGAAGTATTGACAACTTCAAAATCTAATTCTCATTCAGATCCACACTTGTCTTCCTCAACTTTTGATCACACTGAAGCTCAGAGCATGGCAGAAAACAAGGATTATGTACAAGGAGCATCTTTGAGGAAAGTGAAAGAGACAAATGGATATGTTGATCTTCAAAGTAACGGATGGGTCAATAGTGTTTCATCAACACTGGCAGTGCCAAGCAACCGAAAGTTTGTGCTTGATGTGACTGGAAGAGTGACATTTGAAACAGTTAGATCTGTCGTGGAGTTTTTCTTGTGGAAGATAATGGAGTGCTTGAAAAGAAGTCTTAATGCCATTCATGATGAGGTTGTCAGAAGGGGACTTGAAGTCATCAGATATATTGGTGCTAAGTCTCTTGTAATTCTTGTCATATGTTTTGCAATGTTTATACGTGTTGGCAGTACTCGAGCTCTGTTCCTTGCATGAATTGATTGCTGTCTTTTAGTACATGATTATTGTATGATGGGGACAAACTAGTTGAGGAAGATCTACTTGCATGTCAAATCCCTGAGAGCTGAATTGCGATCCTGCCTGGACTTCCATGTATATTAATGGTTTGAGCCTCAAGAAATGCTAGCTTTTTTGCTTGAAAAGTTCAGTTTCATTGAGATGGGTTTATAACCGTTTAACATGACTACTGAAGACTTCTTGTGGAATTCGAGGACAGGAACATGTTTCTCTGGATGTTGGCCTTCTGAGGAAGCTTCCTTCAGATTTTATGAAGAATATACTGGTTCAAGCAAAGCTTTTGGAACCACAACCCTGAAACAGTTAGCAGGGCACAATATTCTGTAATTATTGTATTCGCACCAAGTTTTGGTCTCTGGGAGGTCAAGCTGCTTAGGGCATTTTTGGATTCAGATGGAAAGGAGAAGCAACTGAATATCCCAGTGCCACTCTGATACTATCTGTAACTTTTTTTAATTATATGACGTAGAATTATGTACTATTGAAAGTGGCTTAAAATATAGAAATTATCAACATGACTATTCGCAGGGATGTAACAGTACAAATTAGTTTCAGAACCAATTCTTCATTCTGGTATCCATATACTACATTTGTGTTTTACTTCTGATGACTCAAAAGACTGTCCTGCAGGGGCTTGAAAATTGTATTCTTGAAAGTAAATTTATTTTCACTGGTTAGCCTTTTGAATATGAATCTTTTTAATCTGTCTTGAGCATCTACACAAAGCTACCCAGCACGTTTGCATCTTGCTCTTTGGAAGGCCCTAATAGCTGCCTCTTTCTATTTTGTTCACACCAGTGACCAAATAATTCTTTACCACTCCGGCTTTCAAGATAAAAACTTAAACTGCATCTTGAATATGATGGAATCTTTAGATTCATAATCCGATCTCTGCATGAATGTAAGGCATCACCCTCTTGTGGCAACAGCCAACTCTGGAGTGTCAGCTTAGTTATTCTCATCAAGCCACTTACTTGATGCCGAGCTTTCCAACTGCTAGATGTTTCGTTTTTCCCCATATCAATGTAGAAAGGAGACATAAATTGATTCTTCCGAAGAACCGGAAGTGAAGCGCTATGCTGGGGCGCAGCAAGATGGGAAAATAAATGGTTCCAAATGAAGAAATTAGGGTTCCCAATGCATCTTCACGTTCAATGAGATACTCTAACTGAAATTGTGATGCTTTACTCCTAATCCAACTCCACCATTTGCTTAAAACTTTAATAACTTGACACTTAGACACAATTGTCAATTCCAGCATGCGTTTAATCATCCATGGAGCGGTTCGGCCTCTGGACCTCTATAATTTAATGATGTATTTGTTGGACGTCACGTCACTGTTTGGAATGTTTACTCTCCATCTTCTTCTCGTTTTTTTTGTTTGTGTTTAATTTAATCTATTTAGTGTGTGTAACAGTGTTGGCAATGTGTTTAACGACTAACGATATCTTGCGTTGCCAGAATGTAAAAAACTAAATTTGTCTCCTGAAATTATATTCAATTTCATTAACTTTGCATTTTTCTGATAACTACAATATTTCATCCATGTTCTGTTTGTGCTCCATTTTAATTTTATTGCATTTTTCTCTTTTTTCTTTTCAAATATACATTCTTCAATAAAATAAAATAACATGTAAAATCAAAACTTTTCGTTCTCTTTTAACCGCATATTCTCCAAAAAACCCATTATTCCAAATTACATTTTTCCTAAAAACTAATTTTAATGGAGCCCATACAGAGGCTAAGTACTAAGGCAGAAGGATTAGAACAGATCAAGAATAAAAGTGACATGTATTAAATTCTATTAAATGGACCTTATATCCTTAAATTTAATTCAACTAATTAAACGTGTATTGCACGTTATTTTGAGAATTTTTTATGATTGTTGTAATAATAGCTGCTGGGTTAATATAAAAAATGATAGTAATATTGCATACTACAAACATTATCTTGAATACGTGTTAGAAAACGGACATTAATCGAGTGAATATTGATCATAAGAGTGAAATGCATATATGAATGTAAATAATGGAATGTGTGTGAAATGCATAAATGAACACGAAAGTTGACAAAACTTATAGGAAAGAACAAAATCTCACGATAAACTCTAAATTGTTGATTTGAAATATCAAATACAAAGAAAGAGAGAATAATTTTGAAAAACGTTTCAAAACTTTTTATTTAATTCAAAATTCAACTAATTGTTATAAGACTAATATTTAAAGCAGTAAATAAAATATGGATAATAACTAAACTTTTAGATAACGATAAGAGTTAAAGATAATGGCTAACTCTAAACAGAATATGTGCTTTAGGAGCTCTAAATGATGAAATTTGACTGAAACGGGTTGCACGGCATGAATAATGTCAATGAGTTTTGCTCGGTGAGCTTTTGCTCTCAAAATAGACAAAAAACTCTCCACAAATAGATACTCCAAAATTTTTATTTTTTTTTGGAAGTCGATCCCACTTCTCCATCAAATAGTAATTATGATACGTGAACGTAAATGTTAATTAATTTAGAATCAATAATTAGGAATACATACTTGAAGATGAATGTTAATCAAAATTTTCGTTGTGTAAATTCAGAAATGTATAGATGATGATGTTCTGTGAATGTTAATTAATTTACAATTAGTGACAGGGAATGCATAAATGTTAATTCATCATTTTTAATCAATGAATATAATATAATGTTCAATTAAGTCGACTTAATCTTACAAATGTATATTAACGATAATTAAATGGTTGAGAAACTAATTGAATGCAACGTTTAAATATATATCGAAAAGGAAGGGAAAATTAAAATAGTTGAAGTAGACAAGGGATGGAATCGTCCAAAAAATATTTTTCACTTCGTGATACTTAATACAAGGTAGCTACATTATCACTACAAATTTGAATTGTTATAACCACACCCAATTAAAACCTATTTTTATACACCAAACTATATTTACAACTATTGTCCTGGCCTAATAAAAATTTAAAATGAAAAAAAAAAAGAAAAGAAATTACAGTATTGTTATCCCTCATTTCCCTTTCCTCTCCACACTCATTCTATGTATTTTTTGTAAAAACACCATCAATACCCAGGCTATGTTTTTTTTTGCTTCAACCTATATCCAATGGGTAGGAAATTAGGCCTTGTACCCTTTTTTTAACAGTGTTTTGATTAATACTCTTAAACTATAATTAAACATTTTAAGGAAGTATTAATTACATCCAAAAAGCCCAACCCGTACAAGCCCAAACCACATAATTCAGTAATCTACCCTCCTTCCCCAGAAACGTAAAATATCTTTCCCAAATCTTCAGAGGAAAAATCTGCAAATCCTAGCAAATTCCGACTGTAAATCTCCATTTCCGACCTATTTTCCATTGATTTCTTCTCCGTCTCCCCTTCGTATCCATTCGGGTTCACATCCTCATTCGTAGAATTCGTCCAGAGGCAAAAATCCGACCTATTTTCCATCGATTCCTTACGAGCAAAATCCGACTATAAATTTCCATTTTCGACCATTTTCCATCGATTTCTTCTTCGTATCTGTTTGGTTTCACCATCTCATTCTCATTTCGACCCTAAATCCCGAATAGCCGAAACCCTAAATCTGAAATCTCATTTTGATTATTAACTCGTATTTCTGTAATGACTGAAAAATGTGGCTCGAAGAGGCAAAGAAATCTCGATGAAAAACCTTCCTCTAAGAAGAGGAACAAACTTTCTTCATTCGTCTATAAACCCAAGGTAGCAACATTTTTTTTAAATGTTTTAGTATGATAATAATATTTGAAATTTATTGTATCTTTTGTGGGTAATGCTTGGATTGCCACTTAAAATGTGGTGAACAACGATATTACTAAATGGTTGTATAGTTGAAATCCCATGAAAATGTGGTTGGATTACCACTTCCACCAATAGCATACATCTTCCATTCAGTATTGCTGTGTAGCGATTACTGTTAATTTGGACTTAATTTGGTTTACCACTTAAAATGTGGTAATCTTCTACACCAAACCTTCTCCAAAGTAATATCATTGTTCACCACATGGATGTACCCTCTCTTACATCTTGGCATCCTCTGCACCAATCCTTCTCTAAAGTAACTGAAAGCTATTGTCACCTGCACAAAAGAACATTTTAGTTCAAGAGTGGATCTAGCATTTGATGACTTTTAACATTCTTAGTCACTTTTTTAAATTTATGTCACCTTTTTGTTATTTTTTTGAGTGTCTGCCAAAAGTGATTCATGCACATGAGTTCACAGTGACTCATATTTGTATGTAGAAAAGAGTTTTATGTCATCTTGTAGTATCATAAGTGGTCAACTTCTAGGTAGCTTTGGTTCCTTCATGTTTATTTCTTTTGAACAAATTGAATGATCATGACTTAA